GCAACAGTTTTTAAACAGACTTTACAACGAGGACTCGTTTGGTCTGTGTCCGAAGGCACAAAACCGAACCAATTCCATATTACAGATATAGGAACACCTTTCTTGGGCACAAGCTCCAACTTTCCCCCCGTCGTTGCCATGTTGTTTATGAATCCGCTACAGTGTTTGGGTGCGCCGCGCTAATGTACCCGTGAAGAACGGTGCGTCGCATTAGTTCCGCTGTTGGCGCTCGTGCGTAAAAAAAGTAGGCTAATAAAATCGATTTTCATGAAAACACATCGTCCTGAACTGTAAATTCGAATTAATCGATTAAATCGATGTATCGCCCACCTCTAATTCTAAAATACTTTTTATCAGTATTTTTTTTTATCAATTACTAGACATTTCAGGGGACCCCATTTGAATTCCAGGCGACCCCAAGGTTGAAAAACACTGCCCTGATGTGAAATTTAGATCATTTTAATGCCACGCCATGTCGAATCAGTATCAATCGAGACCCATACATTTACACTACGATGACTGTACCCAGTTTTCGTTCAGGTTTATAGTTAAAAAAAAGGTACCACAACTGATGTACGAATAATCAGGCAAAGTTTACTAAACAGTCAAGGCATGGGTGACTCAAGGATGAGAAATCCTTCTACCGTGAAACTTCAATTAAAAAAAAAAAAGAGGAAAGAGAGACTTAGATTAAGATGTTTAATGTCCCATTCTCCAACATTACAGGAATTTAAAGTGGTAGATTTAACAGCCTCTTGAGTATTTGAATTGACAATTTTCCATGTGTTGCTACTTGGAAGACAATGCTGTTGTCTATGTTTCGCAAACAAATACTCGGGAACCCAGAATGCAATACATAGGGCTTTAGTTCAGGGAACAGACAAACATAACTGGAATCAACAAACAGGTTCAGAGTTGAGGTTGAGAAGCAGGAGAAGCTGGAAGTTGGAGAAGTCAATCCTACACATAACACATGAGACAGGAAGCAAGCACACGAGAGGATCCAAGGGGAAAGGGATTGGGACAGTACCGGCGCAAGGAAGGCACGTAGGACAAGTCAGGGCTAAACAGAGGACAAAAAGGAGACTGCTTGGTAAGTCTCATAAGAATCAACATCTTTCACTGAATGCGATGTGGGACAGGGGTAAATATAGAGCAGAGCAGGTGTATCCACTCTGACGTGGCTGATGCCATTGCATTCTCATGAGAGGGGCGTGATAGACCCCCCATGGCTGAGGAAAGCACCTGGAATGACGCTGGAGGTGAGGAGCAGGCCGGGTTAGGTGGTTGCGATGGAACTGGGCCACCAGAGCAGGGTCAAAGCACATCTGCTGCCAGCACCCAAGTCCTCTCTTCCAGGCTGTAGCTCTCCCTATCCACCAGGCTTTGCAGCTGACTCTGCTCAGGCCACAAGTTTTGAAGGGCCTGGACAGCGAATGCCTTGTTGTTGTCCAAGGGAATGGGTGGTGGAGATCCCGTGGTGTCAGCGGGGGGATGAACCATGCTGTAGTAGATGGGTGTGAGCCAGAGATGTTCACAAGGCATTTTTTCCAAGTCCAAGTCAAGTCGCAAGTATTTGTACTCAAGTCCAAGTGAAGTCTTTTGTCCCAAGTTCTATGAAGAAATGGTGGAAGGTGGTTCCGGTTAGAGAACACTGGGAGAGCAGCAGACTTATGCACACTTTAACCTAGCAAAGCAGATTGATAGCTGGTAAACAACGTTACCATTCTGATCTGTTACATGGGCAGCTGTGATTAGTCTGCTGAATATAACTGGCTGTGGTCTACAACAGAAACAAATATAATCAGTAAATTATCACAATCTTACAGCTGGCATCTGCAATTCGATGCCCTCCATTACTCCAGCAGATACGTATGCATCAATGACACGTATTACGTACGCTGCCGTGACCGTCCGATCGGCTACCGATTGCATCTTTAGGGCTTTCGTACAACACTGGAAAAACTAAGATTAATGAAATAATGAAATAAATAATTCCATGAAATGAACATTGTTCACAAGTCACAACACCCAAGTCAAGTCACAAGTCTTTGTTTGTGTGAATTAAGTGCGACTGAAGTGCGACTCGAGTCCCCATCTCTGATGTGAGCAAGGATATGTGGAACGACAGCAAAATGTGATAGATGTGGGGCAGCTGCAGGTGGTACTGTAGGTCATGGGCTAGTCTGTTTGAGAACAGCCTGGACAACAGCGCTGGTCAGCCTAGACCAGGGGTGCCCAATCTTATCCGCAAAGGGCCGGTGTGTATGCGGGTTTTCGCTGCAACTCCCTAATTAGATTACTAATTAGAGGACTGATTGGCTGAAGAGTCCTCACACCTGGGTTTGAACAGCTGACCTACAGGTTATCCCAAAAACCTGCATACACACCGGCCCTTTGCGGATAAGATTAGGCCAGACCATCTGTCGATTGGACCTGGCCTGGAGTTGGCAGTGGGCATGCTTTCACACGTGTCAGCTGTGGCGGAACCACACCTCAACTGAAGGAACTGAACTGGGTTGGGAGTACCAGCAGATTAGAAGCGCTTGGTACCTGAGAATGCACTGAAACAGAGTGAGGTTAGTGGATTGCTACCTCCTACCTCATCAACCTTGGTGACAAAAGGAATTGAGGGGTCAGTCTGCTAGAGGATCGGCACGGAGCAGAAGAGGTCCTTCAGGTCGTTGAAGGGCAGCTTTGGCCTCGGGGGTCCAGAGAAGGATCATCCACTGAGCACACAGCAGGTCAGTGAGCTAGGCAGCGACTGAGCTGATCCCTCAAAAAGTACAGATAAATGTTTGTGAAAAACAGGAAGCACTTCAGGTCCTCGATATTCCAAAGCTGGAGCCAGTCCCTGACGGCTTTCACCTTATCCTCATTCATCCCCACTCCCCTTGGTTGGATCAGGTATCTAAAAAAAACTTGATTACAGATCAGTGGAACTCACATTTCTCACCTGTGACGAAGAGGCGATAGTCATGGAGCTGTTGAGGGACTTGTTGAACGTGCTTCACGTGTTGTTCAGGGGAAGCGGAATAGATGAGGATATACACAAGGATGAACTGGTGCAGCATGTCAGCCAGTATCTTGCTTCTGAAGGCCTGGAAGATGGACGGACTGTTGGACAAGCCATATGGCATGACAAGGTACTCATACTGACTAGTCATCATGATGAAGGCCATCTTCCATTCGTCCCCAGCGTATATATACAAATCAAGTTGCAGGCATATATGTTGAGTTTCGTGTAAACCCATCCTTCTTCTCAAAGAAAAGGCTGGAAGCAACCAGAGAAGTCAATGGATAGACAATCCCCTGGGCCAAAGCCTTCAGGATGTAGGTCTTTAATGCCTATTATTCTGGTCCAGACAGGGAGAACAACTGCCCGCTGGGTAGAGTGACCCCCTCCACCAGCTCGATGGTACATATTAGGGCTCGCATCTCTAGCTGTTCCCCCTCCTAAAACAGAGTAACCAGAATCACAACTCGCTGTGAAGGCAGAGCTGAAGCTGTCTTCTCTGTTGGTGCTTGATGGACTTGTTGGACTCCACCTATATGCAAGGGCTTGGTGTCTGTTGAATGGGTCTGGGCGAGGCACAGGGATTTAGTCCAAGCCACGGAGAAGCGGCAGTGAATATGTCCAGCAAGATGGACAGCTAGACATATTCTTCAAATGACTGGGCATTGCCGCCACATGCAATCTCTGACCTGGAGCTCCGGGTTGAGCCACCAGTAGAAGACTTGCAGACAATCCAAGGGTCATCCCAGCCCCGTGGCAAGGGTCCAGAACTCCAGGGTGAAATCTGTGACTGGTCAGATCCTCTGCCTAAGAGTGCAAAGACAGTCCCCTCTACTATGCCAGACCACCGGATAATTGAAGACCTCGCTGAAGGTGGCTTGAAATGCCCCTGAGGAGTTCAACAGAATGCTGTTTTTTGGTGCCGAGTGCAGTTGCACAATTGCAGGCTCTGTCAGTCAGCAGGGAGATCATGAAATGGACCCGATCTGTGTCTCCCTGCAACTTCCAAGCATGGTGAACCACATAGCACTCACATTGTATCTGAAAGGCACAGCAGGTGTAGGGATTACCATCATAATTACTGGCATCTTATTAGGGACCCCTGACGAAGGACACGAAGGGGACAACAGCAGGGGAATGGCAGCAACAATCCTATGCTGGAGCTGCCCAAGCAGGTAGGTAAGCTGCACGATCTGGGAGAGAGCATCCTGCAGCTGGCGCTGGGTGTCCACAGGACCCATGGTGTTCAGCAAGGTTTTCTGTTATGAGGAGAAACTTGGGAATCTAGAATGTGGTACATGGGGCTTTATTTCAGGAAAAGGGTAAAGGGGACTGGAGCCAACAAGCAAGTTTGGAGTCAGGGTCATGGAGCAGAAGTGGGAATGCAGAGTGTTGGAGGGGAACAGGATTGGGACAGGGCCGGAACAGGCAAGGTAGCTCAGTGCTAAACAAAAAGGAGAACGCTCAATAAGTTTCATAAGAATCAACAATAACTGGCACTGAATGCGAGGTGGAACAGGGGTGAATAGAGAGCGGAGCAGGAGTCTCCACTCTGGCAGGTCTACAGTAATGCTGCTTTCTTCTCATGGGGGGCTACTATGGAATTATATTTGTGCCACTATTTTCAGTGAGCAGGTTTACATTTTGACTGAAAAAACTCAAAGTATATAATTTATGGCTTCTATTTTCTAAATTGTAATTTAACAGCAAATCAAGACTTTGGTTCTCTCTATTTCATGCTTTATTCTCAGCTTTACAGCTTTTCATGCATGTGATGCACCAGAGGACCAGAATGTGTAATAATGTGAAAACATTGCAAACCAACACAGATCAGGGCAGGTAAAATCTTCCTCCCTGGTCATAGCCATGCCCATATGTTTTATTCAGTGCTTAGAAATCCCATATAAGGTGAACCAGGTCATGGTTAACCCTCACAACCCTTACCGGGCAATTTCCCGGCCACAAAAACACAAACAAATAAACATTCCATTGATTTTCTTTATTTTACTCTGGTATATTTTTTTTGGTTCCAGGAATGTTAAAATGTTAACATCACCTAGAATACTGGAATAGTGGAGTGTCAGTGAGGTAAAGCCTTAATACAGAAAGTATATCACCCACTGTATCCCACATGATACTCATTAAAAGTAAGAAACACAAAAGTAAGAAACACAAACTTTCATGTTATATGCTTTGTAGAAATAAAAAACCCCTACATTTGAACAGTATTTTGGAATGTGCTCTTTTATGATGCCAAGATACAAAAAAGGATCCATATATAATTCAGATTTTCCTGATTATCTCATACACATACAGTCATAAAAAACAGTGTAAGTTCTAAGTATAAAAATGTTAATATCAAATTACCAATAATTACCAAAAAAACAGCAGTTCCAGTGGCTATTTTAATAACCATATTTAATCCATTGTGCTTTTATTAAAAATGATGTGACTAATCACAATCAGTAGATTATCAATGGACATGGATGGTATTAGACAGAAATCCAGATCCTTCATCCTGTTCTTAGGAAGCTGGATCTAGCTACATATTTCAAAATCAAGGACACTATCAAACACTCATAAAGGACTAGCCTACATATATTTTTCACATTGTTTCCTCCATGTAAAGTGAATGTAAGCTTTCCTTTGTGTGCATATGACAGAATACAGCCTGGAGTTTAAACACCATAGTAAGTGCAGCAGTTTGTGAGGTTTGACATCAGCAACATGTAATTGTGACACCCAGTATACATCCTTTACATCAAAACTGTATACTAAATTGAAGAACAAAAGAAACAAAAAAATGCAGTCGGAGTATTACTTTGTCTCTTCTTTTACCTTATATGCAGCATTCACTCGAAGCAGGCACATCCAATACATTTAATTTCAAAACTGACAACAGCTGCATATAAGTGCAAGAGGACATACTCTAGGGGTGGTGATTTTAAAAGGGCCAAAACCTTAAACCAGTTAAGCAATTATGGTCAGAAAGAACAAGGATGAATGCACTCTTCACTCAAACAGAGGTTTACTCTTATATTGTCAAAATTCCATGAGTAAAAAAATTATGTTCAGTAAGTTTTAAAAATCTGATCCGATCGAATCTCTTTAAGCTTCTGGAAGCGGTACTAACAATGGCTTAGAGACAGAGAGACGGGACCTGTTCACACCCATAAGAATTTGTTATATTGAGGGGAATTTAGCTTCAGTAGTACTGTACATACATCAGTTGCTGTTTGTTTGGATGGTGCTTAATCATTATTTACTCTGATGGAGGTCACTGTCTGTGATTATCTGGATTTAGTAATCTGTTCACACAGATGGATGTTTAGTCATGACACCTACGATTTACAGTCATGTTAACATCATTTTAAGTTGACAAGAGGGACAGAAATCCAGCCCCCCTACCCACAAATAGCTTAAGGGGCACATAGGGGACTGAACTCAGATGCCACAGTAGGACGCAACTTCTGTGGAGTCCACAGGACAGACCCTTACAACATAGTCCGTGGTGCAGAGCTTATGGCTTCTGGGTAATTTTCGAGGGCAACAGTACAATATGTTGCACCCTCTGTTTATATAACAAACTTTATAACATGAAGCCCATGTGACCAAAAACATGTCTCTTTGCTAAAGGTGACAAACAGGCAAGCACTTGTTCATTCAGCTGCCTGGATACTTATTGTTTCAACTCATTGATTCATGTTCTTCTGTTCCCACCAAATACAGTGGCATGCAAAAGTTTGGGCACCCTTACATAAAATGTATGTTACTGTGAATAGGTAAGTGAGCACAAGATGAACTGATCTCCAAAAGGTATAAAGTTAAAGATTACATTTTTATTTCAGTCTTTCACAGGTACAAAATACCAAAACAATGAAAAGGGCTTGAAGCAAAAATTTGGACACCCAAAGATATCTGAGCTTTCAAAGAACATTTACAAAGTTCCCAGACCTTCACTAGCTGGTTAGGACTATGGCTTGTTCACAGTCATCATTAGGAAACCCCAGGTGATGCAAATTGTAAATCTGTATAAATTCTCTGACTCCTTAAACCTTGTCCCAACAATCAGAGGCCATGGGCTCCTCTAAGCAGCTGCCTATCACCCCGAAAAATGAAATAAAATAATTGATGCTCAAAAAGCAGGAGACAGCTACAGTACAAGAAGATAGCAGAGCATTTCCAGGTATCTGTTTCCTCAGTTCATAATGTTATTAAGAAATGGCAGTTAGCAGGAATGGTGGAGGTCAAGTTGAGGTATGGAAGACCAAGAAAACTTTCTGAAAGAACTGCTAGTTGGATTCCTAGAAAGGCAAATGAAAAGCCCCATTTGACTGCAAAAGACCTCCATGAAGATTTAGCAGATACTGGAGTAGTGCTGCATTGTTCTACTGTACAGTGACATCTGAACAAACATGACCTTCATTGTAGAGTCAGCAGAAGAAAACCTTTCCTGCATCCTAACCACAAAATTCAGGGTATCTGAAGTTTGCAAAGGAACATATAAACAAACTTTGGAAACAGGTCCTGTGGACTGAGTAAGAATATAACTTTCTGGCCACAATGTGCAAAGTTATGTGTAGAGGAGAAGGGAGTCGAATTACAGGGAAAGAACAACTGTCCAAGTACTAAGCATGGGGATGGATCGATCGTGCTTTGGGCTTGTGTTGCAGCCAGTGGCTCAAGGAACATGTCATTGGTAGAGGGAAGAATGGATTTGAGTAAATACCAGCAAATTCTGGCAGCAAACATCACACCATCTGTAAAAAAGTTAAAGTTAAAAAGAGGACGTGTCCTACAACAAGATAATGATCCGAAACAAACCTCAAAATCTACTATGAAATACCAAAAGAGGCACAAGTTGAAGGTTCTCTCACAGTCCCCCAACCTAAACATCACTGAAAATCTATGGATAGATCTCAAAAGAGCAGTGCATGCAAGGCGGCCCAAGAATCTTGCAGAATTTGAAGCCTTTTGCAAGGAAGAATGGGTGAAAATCCCCCAAGTTAGAACTGAAAGACTCTTTGCTGGCTACAAAAATCATTCACAAGCTGTGATACCTGCCAAAGTGGGTACTGACCATGTCGGTGCCAAAACCTTTGCTTCAGGCCCTCTCATTTTTTTGTTATTTTGTACTTATGAATGATGGAAATGAAAATGTAACCTTGCTTGAAATATTATAGAAATATGTTATCTTTCACTTTATGCCATTGGGTGATCAGTTCATGTTCTGCCCACTTAACTGTTCACAGTAACAGGCATTTTAAGCAATGGTGCCAAAACCTTTGCATGCCACTCTGTAAAGCAGAATAACTTGCTGTGTTTTTAAGATATGCAACAATTAAGTCATCGTTAAAAATAAAAGTTAAATAAACCAGTGTTTCTGCATCCTAAATCTGTGTAACTGTCGATAGAGCCAGTAGGGGGCGCATGAGGCTAGCTGGTAGAGGACACAACGAGGTCCAGCTCTTTGGCGCCCTCCTGAGTGCTGGTCAGGCAACAGCTGCCTGTCAGCTCCGGGAAATGGCTGGCTCTGCCAGGGGGGCCAGGGGAGGCTGGTGACTGGGCCAGGTCAGGTTTCTTTGGGGGAATTGGGGGAGGATGCACCCTCTCCCCCCTAGGAACGGTGGGTGATTTAATCCCAGGAGAAAGGGGGCTGGAGGATTTGGCTGTTGGAGAGAGGCAGGCCAGGCTGCGGTAGTCTGTGCCAAAGGGGGAATTGTTAGGGGTGGGTGGCTTAGTGCTGCCTTGCTGGCTGGTGAATCGCGATAACACCTGGGTGACGGTGTGGCGTGCTAACTGCTTGGCCGTGTGCTCGGCTGTAGTTGGTGAGAGGTCGTGGGGGGATGCCGGCCCACCGGCACTGTGCTCCTGCTCGGCTTGGGCCTGGAACTTGTGACGAGCAGCCTGAAATCGCTGGTTAACGCTCGCCTGGTAGGAGGATTGGTAGCCAGGGCTGAGGGCACCGGCCCCACCTAAACGCTTGGCCAGGACCGGAGAAGAGCAGGGTGAGGAAGTCAGGGAGGAAGAGGCAGTGCTGCTTGGTGACAGGCTGGCATGGGGGTGGATGGGAGAGCGCAGTCCAACCCCGTTCTCCTGGCCATAATCATGGGCTGGCTTCTCTACTGACCCCTCTGCATCCCTCTGAGTGAGATGATGCCCATTTATCTTGGGCAGAGCAGGTGACCTGGGTGCAGGTCTCTCGCCAGGCTCTGTCTGGGTGGTAGTTGCGACGGTGGTGGCCTTGGCGGGCAGCATCGCGGCCATCTTGGCTAGATCTCTCAGCAGTCCTTCTACCTGTGCCTGCAGATCTCTGCAGCGGCCTTCTTCGTGCCGGAAGCGCTCCTGCGCTTGTGTCACCTGCTCCCGCTCTGCCTGCATCTCCGCCTGCAGATCAGCCACCCGCTGACTGTCCTCCTGGGCCTGGGCAGTGGCCTGCTGGCACTCAAGAGCCAGGGCAGAAGACAGCTGCTCGTTCTGGGTCTGACCCTCCTCCAGCTGGCACATCAGCTTCTTCTGCTCCTTCTCCAGGCGCTTCACTTGTCCCTTCTCAAAATCCAGCTGCAGAAATGCACAGACACAAATACACAAAGAAATCATAGTATCATCCATTCACCATTTACAAACTACAATAACTAATGCATGATCTTCTGCTTGAGAATATAAAGGCCTTCATCTTAACTTTAGTTATTTACACATAGATTATAAATAAAAGAATGCTATTTTGAAGGGCAATGCTAGGTACCATTCCAGATCCAAAACCTTTCCCAGGAGCAGTAAAACAAGTCACATGAAGCACAACGCACTTCCCTACTGAAAGAGCCAAAAGACTGCCGTAACTTAGGCTACAAATACAAGGCAGGAGGGGTAGACCCCGGCCACCTGGACACAACCGGTTTCCTGTCAGTACAACAGCCATTTCCTCTGCTGACTCGGGGGTGGGGGGGGCAGTGAGATCCTACTGCGAACACAAGAACATGCTGGAGAACCAAAGGTTCCCTCCATTGTGAAGCTCTGAAAAGAATTATGGCTTGTTGAGTTGGGGGAGGGGGTTAAGAAAGGAAGACACTACACAGGAAGAGAGAACAGGGGCGAGGAAGCATAGCAAATGCAAACACTGAGAGCAGATGCCATTCATCTCCCTTCCAGAGAATTCTATACAAGGCATGACTTTTGCATCCCACTGCAAAACCCAAACAGGGACCTTAGGGTTGGTGGAAAAAATGCTTCTGGCTGGAAAAGATTCTTTCCACACTGTTTCATAGGTTAATTGTCAAGGCTTTCTGTCTCAGTAGATTTAACAAATTAATTTATGTCTTTGATTATTGGTGTTTTCTGAAATGGGGTGGCTCTGATTTCTGGGCTTTATGGATCTGGAACTTCATGCACACTGTGTTTGGTTTCTTTTCATTACTAAATTACGAAAAAGCTGAGCAAATGACCTTTTACAGGGTTGTCAACTTTGGTCAGCTGGCTGGTGTGAGATTTTCAATTCGAGACAAGTCTGCATACTCATTTACATGTAGGTAATAGTTTTATTACCATGTAAATCGTCTGTAGGGTTTGCAAACTACCCCAATGCTTTTGATGTAGCTAATTTCAGGTTTATAATGAAATAATACAGATTTACCATAAGATTTCTTGTGTGAGCGTGAGTGTCAAAAAGTGTGTGTGTCACGCTAGATGCATGAGAGTTGGCAACCCTGCTTTTAGTTCAACTGGTTAAAAGTAAACTGGCCAAATAACCTGCAAAGGGCCTTTTAATGAATAATAAAAGCTCCAAGACCACAGGATTTGAACCAGCAACCTTCTGAGTCCCAAACCACAGAGCCGCCCCATGCCCCCAACAAATTATTATTTTTTTGTTTAATATTTTTTTGGTCAGAGCATAATTCCATATATTATATATTTTATATTATATTTTATTGTTCTGATGTCTTTATAATTAGTGTAAAATGTGGAGAATAGTAGAAATAAACCATTCTATGGGTAGGTGTGTCCACATTTTTGACTGGAATTATATATTAGTAAAGCTGTGTTAATGGCCAGTGGATGCAGTGTGAAAACCCTATCAATATACTATGAATGATCTATGATGATCACCTGAATGTGTAACAGAGGCACTATCAATGCCTAATGATTGCAAAATACAGTGCCTTGCTAAAGTCTTCAGACAAAATCACATTTTTCTAGTTATATGTCACAAAATATATTTAATAATTCTGAATCGTCCATTTGCATTAATATTTAAATCTTTTCATTGTAGCAAACCTTAAATTTAAGGCGCAAAAATTTAACTGAATGGTCAATGCCAGTGTGAAATAACAGTGGCTCACAATAACTGATCACAGGTCTTAAGATAAATGCAGATGTATCAGCGAGGTCCCTCAGTCAGGTAATGAGTCTTAAGGAGTTTTCAAGCAAATCAGAGATCAAGTTATCAGGAAAGAGAGCTTCTGAGCTGGATTAAAAAATAAAAAAACCCACAGTGCCCAAAAATTCTGAGACCAGCTTACTCAATCATCAAGAAATGCAAGAAGCAATAGACAGCACAGATACTGCCTGGATTGGGCCAGTCCTCTAAACTCAGCACCCGGGCAAAAAGGAAACCTGAGAAAAATGCTGCTCTGAGGCCAAACTACAGACTGCAATGAATGCAGTGGGGGAGAATGTGCGTCAGCCATCCATTAGCAGAACACTGCATAAAATCCGCCTGTTTGGCCGGAAGGCCAGTAGGATGCCATCGCTTAAGAAAAAACACTTCAAAGCTTATCTATACTTTGCAACAAAACACCTGAGTGATGCAGCAAGAAAACAGCCAAAGGTGCTGTAGTCAGAGGAAACAAATGCGGAAAGCGTTATGTTTGGCACAGACCCAACGCAGCACATCACCCAGGTAACACCATGCCCAGAGTGAAGCGTGCTGGTGGCAGGATAATGCCATGTGGCTGCTTTTCATCCGCTGGGACTGGAAAGCATGTGAAGACTGAAGGAAGAATTGGCAGTGCAAATTACAGGCACAAAATAAAGGAAAACCTGTTTCTGTTTGCTAAAGATGGCAAATTGGGACAAAATTTCATCTTAAACAGCCACAGCTACCCAAGTCCTGAAAAAGTCTGTCAGCAAGAATGGGAAAAAGTACGCAAAAAAAACCCAAATAATAATAATAATAATAATAATAGCAGATGTACCTAAAAGTCTTAAAGTTGTAATTGATGCCAAAGGTGCTTTGCCAGGAATTCAATTCAAGAATCTACATACTTATGCAAACAGCATATTTTTGTTTTTCTTTATTATATATTTTGTGATGTAAAAGTTATTTGATTTTAATTAATTAATTCGTTTTGTTGTCAAATACAATGAGTCTGATCCCCATGAATGCTTTCTATATGCCAAGTAGCTGCCCCGGTCATGTGACCATACAGGAGAAGTCCAAAAAGCCTACAGTGAAGAAGAGTAGAGGTACTCAGAAACCCCATGAAATACAGAAGGAAAACGCAGTGAAAGCACTTTGTACGAGAACTTCAGCTGGGTAAAACACAAGCAGGCTTACTTCCTGCAGCAGCCGCTCCCGCTCCTTCTCCAGCATGTAAGTGACGTCATCCCCCTGTGCCGTATCCTGTGCGTGACGCTGCTTTTCTTCCTCGAGGTCAGCAATGACCTGCCGTGGACAAAAGGGGGCAGCACCGGCCCATGACCCGCACTGATGCATTAAGCCAGGTGATAACAGGCTCATTTCAGTGTATCCACACAGCATACGCAATCATTCAAGCCACAGCCAGGGCCACGTCCTCGATCTTTAAAATGCATTAGAGAGCAGGGACGCTGCAATCCTAGCCTTGACTTATGTCTGTCTCAAAAGGGCCCCGATTCATTGCTAAAGCACCATTTAGCTCCTAAACAAATTCATTTTATCAGTGATCAAATTTCAATAGCAGATGATGGATCAGTCCTGGCAATGAGAGCACACTCTAGCAACCCCCGACCCAAATTGCCTCTTAGCCCTCCCCTGCTGATGCAGACCCATTATGTGAAGCCAAGCCTCAGAACAATTGCCAGCTGGAGGCGAGGTGGGGAGGTGCTGGGGGGAGAGGGGACAACTGTTTTGGCAGATGCACGGCCCTGTTCATATAAGCTAGATGGTGTAGGGTGGGAACAGGAGGCTTTGAAAGAAAGATAATTGAGCTCACTCCTGTTATTACTGTCATTAAACAACAGCTGGTTTGATTAGAGACACAGATATGTCCCAGAGACTATTATCAGCACAGGCTAATTGCTTTCTTTATTTATAAAAGAGAAACAGAGAAGAGAAATATGCACAAGCAAAGAATTATTATAATGAATAATATATAATGCAAAGACAGTGATTAATGGATACTTTAGCAGAGGCAGTATTCCAGTCAGCACTGTTTTTAACAATGAATTCAATTCAGTTTCAAACCCTTCCTTTAGCGGTTAACAAACTGGGCTTGTAAACATAAGGTTCTAAGTTTATGTTCTATGTTCCGTGAAGAAAAGCCCCTGATGCTGTTGAGCAGCAGTACAACCCCCAGATGGACTGAGAACGTGTGGGATTTGTGGATCTACCTTCCTGTGCCGCTTCTCAGCTGCAACCAACTGGGCCATGGATTTCTGCTGCATCCTCTTGGAGTGGGCCATGACTAGCTGGAGCACGGCCATAGGGCTGGGCTGGAAGGCGGCGGAGTTTGCCGCTGCCCCGGCCCCGGAAACCAATCCCCGGCCTGCCTCAGTGTCACGCTGCAAGGCCAGGAAGGGGTCACTCAGACGGTACCTTCCATAGCGCTCCTGCACGATGGCGTCCCGCTGCTGGGCCTGGAGGATGAGAGGTGGGCAGGATTTTCAGGTCAGAGGTCAGGAAACAGATCTACAGAGCGGTGACAAAGACGTGATTTACATTCCCATCTGATTCACTGCACAGATGTACTCGTTAAAAGCAACTCGCATAACCAACGGAAAAATGTGATGCATTCAGCTCGTTTACATTCACCACTGACACAACAATGTTGGTAGCACTCGCATATATAATAGTAATAGGTACTATTACTGCAATGCAGTACAGCTTCATTTAGAAATAGAGGCAAAATCTTTAGCCACAGAAAATCTGAAAAGCTTGTTCAACAATCAGGGGTAAAAATGATCAAGCTGTGGATGGGAATTCTTGCAGTGAAACTGCTGGAGATGTCCTGGTGATATTCCTCCCCAATTTTTTAAGGAGGACGAGGACTGAGTTTACGACCAGGCCCTGGAATGATGTGTCACCAGGTCATGACCGGCAGTGTGAGACATGACAACCACACCGATGTGTATGAAATTGTTATTAAAGGACAGTTTTGGAAAAGCCCCTTGAAACGGCATGTAACAGCGTAACAGTTAAATGGGAGTTATAAGTCAGATCAGGTACAGAAAGAGAGAGTGGTGTATTATTTTGGAAAATCTAAAGCAGAAGTTACTGATTTCAGAATGATAAGTGAAAACATTCAGCTGTAAACCAGGGTACGCTATGCGCTCGGGCAGAGCTACGGCTTTACATAAATGTACCTGCAAAGTTTCTTCAAAAATGTAATTTAGATTTTTCTTGCCTAATTATTTTTGCAATTCATATGCTGTATCCGCCCTAGTCGTCCATGCACTAAATATTGTGATCTGGACATTATGAGGCAAAGAAGCTGCACCTGCATACTAAAAAATCAGATACTGAAATGGGTGCAGTTACATGCGTGTAATTGTAAACAGCCTGACGGTTGAAGAAATATAGCAGTTGTAAGACAGTTTTAAAAATGTATTAGCTAACTGTATTATTGTTCTATGGAAAATGACTGAGTTTCTGGGGGCAAAAAATTAATAAAATAGGTATATCTACTTGAGGCAGAAAAGAGCCAGAAAGTGGCAAGTTGGGGAAACAGTAACCAGCCTGCTGCACTGAGACTGGTAACTGGAGTAAGGGTGGAAAAACATATCGATTTTATGGTTATTTGGCTTTGACGATTCAATATCAAGTCACAAAGTCCCAAGACAGATCTTGTTAATTTATGCCTTTTCCAAATGAATTTGAAAATATTTTTGCTGAATTTTACCTAACAACCACACTTAATTGTTTATTGTTAATTGTTTTAAATACTGACATTATGTGATGACTCTAGTGCACTATTTTGCTCGTTGGTGAACAAATGATTTTTTTAGCATTGATCTTCATTATTGTTTGAAGTTAATCTACATGATGATTTGTGTCTCAAAGAACTGTTCTAAAAAGAGGTTTTAGCTAAATTACATCGAATCAAAATTGAATGGAAATGAAGCTGAATTGCACTGGGCACTTGTGAATCGAAATCAGATCGAATTGTGAGGTCAGGGCTGATTCCCAGCCCTAAATCAAGAGAGATTATCCAGGCCAGATCAGGACTGCAGCAAAAGGATAGACCTCCTTTCTGAAAGCTGACGCAGGACAGCCACGGAGCCCCAGCTGGCAAAGCACCCTGATATAATGGATAACAACAGGGGCTTTGCCCCACCCCCAAGCAGGGGGCGTGAGCTTGGAAGAGAATGAGCTTAGTTAGCCAAAATAGGTGTAAAAGCCCACTGTACACCTCCTAGTCCCCCCACCCTCACCACGGGGCACGTGCCCTGCATCTCAATGTCCCACATCAAGCTGAGGGCCGTAACAAATACAATCAAGCCAAGAGCCTAAGCAGATGGTCTAGCCTAGTGTGCATATGGGGTGGGAGATATACAAAGTGTGAACATCAAAGTGCAAGAAATGCATCTCAACTTCGCCTTTGGCTCTCATTCAAAACAAAAGTGTAATTAATACCTGCCGCCATCCATTTGCAGCTGGACACAAATGGAGGGGTTATAACGCCAGTCCCATGGTTATTAAAAAGTTTGCCTCCTATATTATCAAAAGTCTGCTGCTGAAGTTCCAAAAAATTCTCGACACACCTGCCCATCTCAAATGGCACGCATGCTACATTCTACAGTATTGACTGTCAGAGGCATCTTGTCGCCGATACACAGGCCGGCCTACAATTCTTTGCATATGAATCCAGTTTGGACTTGAATTTCAATGGCAGCCTCTTCCGTGAAGCAGAGACAAGATAAATTTTCGTGTAAACACAAACGTTACAGGGAAGGTAATTACCAGAAGCATGGACGTGCGGCCTCACACGGGCTATACTCCCCTCTGAGGGTGACTGCAGCCAGTTAGCACTAATACTTCACGAAATCTCCTTCAAAGCTCTGCCCCTTAGAGAACTGCAAATGCACTATTGTTATTCTTCATTTACAATCTATCCATCCATCAGTTTTCTGTACCCGTTGGTCCTATGCAGGGTGGCTGGAGTCTGGATCCTGTTCATTTACAATCATTTCTTATACAACTGCATAGTAAAATATTGTTAATTCAACTAAGAGAGGACATCCCTGTAACAGAATATGCAGTATCCATATTGAATATGCAATGCTTATTAAATACTGAGTGACTATCTACAAACATTATTTCTATAATACTATAGAGTCAATGTATGAACAATTTGCAGTGTTAATTCAAACAAAAACTATGACCACAGTGGTTTTCCATGTTCTGGTACTTCTTTATGCAATTCCAGTTAAGCCTTCTGGACTTACGGGAAACGATTTGTCTCATTCTCACAGTCAGAGAGACCCGTGTCCTGTAAGAGAAAATGAAAGAGAAAGTAACAGCATCCTATGCAGTTTCTGCTGTTATTTCCCTTTCAGGCTGGGCAAAGCACACACAGCAGCAGGTGAACTACTGCCAGCATTGCAGAAGGGGCAAGATGTCCCCAGTACGGCTGAGGGAACGTCTGGTCATGGCAGGAAAAAAAATCCCCCCTATGAAACGCTTTAGTGGCACATATACATCCTTTACATGGAACATCTGTCTATTTTCCATGCAGGGACATACAACAGGTGCAAGGAAGGGGATACCCCAAAATGACAAGGAGAGAACATGCACACATAGGGGCAAGGCAGAGACTCAAACCCTGGTCTCCAGATGTGTGAGGCAAAAGTGCTAACCACTGACCACCACACCATCCACATTATATGGAGCAATAAACTAAAGAAAAACACGGCCTTCCTTAGCAGAAACACAAGATCAACTATAATCTTCCTGAATTACGCAAGTGTAGTCCTTTAAATCACTAGCAAGCAGGTCATCATTATGTGAGTGAAGTTTTACTGTAGTTCCCATGAACCCTGAGCTGGCAGACAATCGGCATGTTTTCACAGCCAAATTCCTCAGACTATGACAGAATGCGTTTTAACATAATTGAAGCTCAGTGAGGCTTGCATAATTTATGTGCGAAGTGAAACGATAAAATGGTAATGCGTAGCTAAGAACAGGGTTCTGCAACTTTGGACCTTTTAGGAAAACAAATTCAAACCAAGATAATTTTTGTTCCATTTTTTTAAATTCGTTTTCTTAATTAATATTTTGATATTATTTTTCAATTTTGTTTCCTTTTCAGTTAAGTTTCATTTTAGTTTTATGAGTTGTAGCCATTTTAATTTGTATTTTTACTGAGCTTCATAATTTACTTTTAATTTTAGTTTTTAAAAAGGAAGAATCCCTCAAATGAAAGCAGCACAAAATGTTGCTATTATTCATAGCAGAAAGCTTTAGTAAGTATTGTAAGTCCTAGACCATAACCATAAAAGTATGTTTTTAATGCTTCTCTCAGTCACATTGTAGCAGGTTCCATCTGTTCAAGGAGCAGACTGTAACTCTAGCAGCATTTTAAAGTCTGGGTCAAGGATCTTACAGAACCATATAAAGGCCGGCACTTCACACAACCCACTTGACATCATTGATTCAATAAACCGTTGACCCAGGGTATTCCCCCTTTTTTATTTCTGAGTGACTGAATTGACCCGAGAGCACCGTAGCTGTAGTTTTAACTATGGCAGTCAAGGTTAACGTTAAGTCATGGTGTGTTACTGAGTCTTTGATTACATTAAGGCATGCGTTATTGTTGATACCCAAATGGGAGAATAATATTAGCAAAGATTTTGAACAGAAACCTATAGCACTCATTCCTGGCTGTAAACAATGTGGCAGCTTTTGTTGTGGTGCCACACAGAATCCCAGAATTCATAGTTAAAATCAAAACATCCAGTTACGTGGAGAAACATTGTTACTTTGTTCATTGTGTGTTTTTTTTTTTTTTAAATAAATTTCTATATAAAATATAAGATCTATAAAATCTTTTTTTTCTGGTATTGCAACAAGACTATATGCAATTAGTCACAATAAAATATATTGTGGACAGCCCCAGTTTCAACGTTACTTCCTACTGTGCTCCTGTTCATTCTTTCATGGTGCCGAGTTAAATTAGTTAGGTGCTTTCCCATAAGCTGTGCCCCACAAACACAAACACTTACAGACATGACACACTTGCTCTAGTAAGGGTTTACATTGTACTTAAAACCGTTCTACACTGTGCTTTCACATATGCAACCAGCTCGCAGCATGACCATATTTAACCTAATCATCTGAATCACAGTTTAATCTTGCAAGGACATCCATAATTTTATCAATTTGAGATGCTAAGCTACGTTCATCATCAGTTATTTCGAGAAGGGACATCTAATAATGCTAATCCGGGCAGGACAGCCTATACGCAGGCTTTTAAATTCAAAAACAGAAGTAAAAAATTGAAACCACAAATTTTTTTTTTTTTTTCCTGTTTTGTAGTTTTTTGGTTTATAACAGTTCAGTTTTTGTGCCCATGCTTTCAGTTTTGCTTTAATTTTGATTAATGAAATGCTTAAGTTACTTATTGCTTTAGTTACAGTAT